TACGCACTGACGGAAAGTTTTTTCTTGTTACATACCTAATATGTTAAGCAGATAACTTTACATTCTTTCTACTTGCAATATTGTAAAATTTAATTGCATATTTTGTGATGTTTTTGTTTTGTGTACGTTATTAACGTTGTAACGTTAACACGCAAAACAATATGTATAATTATTTAATGCATATTATTTTGTTTCTTCACCGTTGTTGTACTTATTTACAAGTAATTCGACTCGGATGTACACGTGATCTATAAGCTATTATTAACTTTTGTTGTCGGTTAAAAAACTATTATATTTTAAATAAAATATCAATTGGTTGCAAAATTGATCAGTGTGTATCACTTACACAGGGACAGTTACAACTCTGGTCGGTGTGCGTACTCCAGCATACGCCTGCAAACGTGACTCGGGTGATAAGCGGCGGAGCCCCCCTCCCCCCTAATACTTAAACATGACCAATGCTAATAGATATAACAATGATTCTAATATGCGCAGAACTTCTTGATTTTATTTGATTTATTCAGGAATAACAACAGTCAACTAATGTTACCTACAGACATAAACCTGAGCAATGCCTATTATATTAATAACTAGATCAAACGCTATGTGTTCCAGATTACTCGTACATAAATCTACCAATATAATTTTATTATCATCTTTATAAAATACATATTTAATATAAATGTCAAATAATGTAACCTCTTAATCAAGTTCAGATTAACCAATTTTCCAAACCTGAAACGATTTCAGTTAATAATATTCAACTAATTATATCCGTGCGGATCATCCTTGGAGAGGGCGCCGCGCCGGTCACGTGCTCGTGGCCCTCCCGCCCACTTTTTCTGCCTTGATCAAAAATGCAGGCACTCCTCTGAAACATTAAGAACGCAGTGATGGGTTAATGGGTCACATCAGGTCCTCCGAGCACTATCTGCTTTCTTGTGCGCTTTCGCTCAATTCACACGTTTACGAAAATGATCGCTCGTCGCCGGAAAACGTTTGCTTTCTCCATTGCGCAACGCAGCACTTCCCGCTCGCCCCGCGCCCCGCCTCACCCCCGCTACACTCCTCACCTATATTTCCCGAGTAGGAAGCGAACGAGTTGCGCAACGCGCTTTCCACCAGCGCCTGCGCAGCATTCCGATCACAGCACACCGCCGCGCTCGTAGCTAACGACGGTTCTAAGCACACTTTAAGACTGTTTATTTCATTTGTTGGAAAAACATAATGACCCAGCTTTTCTCAATTTTCAAAGGTTTTCAAGAAGAAGGTCTTATCTATTAGGTACTGCTCTACCGTATTCATAAATACCGCATTATTTAAGCATAAGTAGAGACTGAAAACCCGTCCACCCCTGCAACCTTTAGAGCTCAGAAACGCGATGCATGAAGTCTTTCATCGAATGATAAGAGATCTCGCTAGATTTGCAATTTTGGCAAACCATTATCACGAGAGCATTTTGGGAGCCGTCACTTTCTACCGCCTGCCAAAGAAAGTGAGAGTCGTGCGTCAGAGCAGCCTCGCGCCCCGCGCCGCGCATTCGGACACTTTCTCTCGGAGCGAATAGGTCAGGGACTGTTACTAGGTATTACCGAGCTGAACCGCGCTCATTATGAGATGCACTCGCTGGTTTTACTTTCTTAAGCGCCCGAGCCGAGACCGGTGAAAAATTCACAGTTTAATAATCGTACGGATTAAATGTACAGTTTCCAGCAGTACTTTTTTAATCCATTTTAATAACTATATTAAAATTGATGGTATTCGACTTATTATCTAATGAATTTATTGTTGACTGATAAATAAATACATACACTACTGGCAAACACAGTAATAATAAAACAAAGTAATTAAAATATGTTCTGACGTAAACCACTCATTTTTTTTGCAAGTGCCTATCTGGATAATTATTAATGACGCAAGTACACTATGCGGGAAATTGACCGAGACTAGAACGAGCCCGCACACAAAATCTAACCGAAGTACATGTTTACACTATAAGTCTCGATCAATTTCCCGTTATATGTAGGTATACTTAGTGTATTTGCGTCATAAGAAAAGTATAAAGGAAACATTACAAAAATGACATTAGGTAACTAAATAAAATATTTACTGACTGAGATTAATTTTTAACGTCAAATTCTATGAATATACTTATATTCTATCTTATAATAACTGAGGACAAAAAATAGAGTATAATTATGTAGTAGAACAAATCAGATTTGCTCCTCGGTAGCATCCATACTGTGCACTTTATGGTCAATGTCAAAGCTATTATGAAATGCGCGAGGTATGTTATAAATTGTATGTTATTGTCATCAATTGTTCCAACATATGTTATTGCATCAACCTGCAGTCCGCCACTCGCTCGCGATGCCGCGGAGCCGTCGAGCGCAAGACGCGTGCGCGCGCGCAGGAAGCGGTCGCGCCCGATCTTACGATCGCGATCACTTGTGCATAATGTTAGGCGCGATGTCGTCATTGGAGAGCCCAGCGTGCGCACTTTCTCTGAGTGAGAGCGCTCTCCCCGCCGCGTCCAGCGCTGGACACCTGACAGTCATAAGCGATGCGACCGGCATCCGACGCGGGTAGTCGCAGCGTTGTGCAACGTGCGTGTGGCGGCGCGCGGAACGGTGAGGAAAGCGTGGCGGCGCACGTAACCGACAACTGGGTTACTTCCCGCTTCCTGACCCCGCGCCCCGCGCCACCCGCCCTGCTGCGCCCGCGCACACTCAGCTTTTTCACGAGGAAACTCAACGCGCAAGACGCATCGGTTCCCACGGCCGTTATTGTTTCTACTGATTATCGTTTACATTCGACATCACTTCATAACCTATAGTTTTCCCAAGATCCCACTTATACACAATAAACGTTACAAAAAAAAATGTACTGGTGCGAATTAAATCACTGGTGTATTTTTTCTTAAGTTAGGTACTTTTAGTTGTAAAATATTTTACTTGCCTTTTTGGGACCAGCATTTCTGCCTAAAATTTACTCAATGAATGAATACTTAAGGCCAGAAATGTAAGGTAATTTAATAAGTGGTGAATGAGACAGAGGCTGCGCCGGCGCGTGCTATGCTAATGCGCCGGCTCGCCTTGGACCGCCTCAAACGTTGCGATAATTAGCGACACTCACGACACGCTTGCCGCGTTTATTGCCAATCTCAAAACATGACAGTTAAAGTTAAATAAAAAAAAGTTAAATAATCTTAAAAGTCATTATTCGCTTGTACCTACCTATGTACTCGTATTTTTATTGAATTTATTACAGCAAAACTTATTCTGTAATACAATGGAAGCTGTTAATGACGCGATCACTACTGTTATCTGACTGTTTACATAGCGGCCTCACAGAAATGCACACGCTAGAAAGTGAAAGTAGTTGTATTACGGTGCTAGCTATTTGAAAAACATAGAGCAGGTAGTCGTGGATGAACGTCGAGTTTAGATTTGGCGGCGCGCGGGAGGCTTCTAATCGCCGCGCGTCACGTGGCGGCCGCCCGAGGGCGCCCCGTGCGGCGCCGCGTGAGCGCCCCCCTCCCCCCATGCCCCCTCCGCGCCCGCCCTCTCTGCGAGAGCCACTTATCCTCTGTCACATTTTCTAATAGATTTTATTGTTATTTGTATGTATCATATTTTCGCTCAAATGTTTACAGATTCCAAATTGCCAACATTCAGAAACATTTCAATTACGAAAAAAAAAACATAAAGCTCAGCAATATTACTAGCACAGCACTACAACTATCTCACCCACCTTAGAGTTGTTACAAAAATTTAGACAAAAAGATTATTAACGCGAGTCCAACCAATGCCTTATCCCACTCTGGTATTGAATAAGTGCAAAAATAACTAAATCAAAAGCGTTTAAAAGATTCATTCATATGAGTGCGTGTCGTCGTTTCAAAGTATGGAACTAGGAGTCCAGAAGTTGTGTTACCATGGCAATCACAAAGCCTACCTGATTTAATCCGGTTTTACATTTAACAATGATGATACATTTTGAACTATTTTTTTTTACTAAACGGTTAACGGGTGTTGTGTTTGTGTTGTAACGGGACTTCGTAGCATAGGGATTCGTAGCGTAGCGGGCGTAGTTCGGGAATCGTAGCGTCGGCCTCCGTAGCGCTGTCGTAGCGTGCTGCGTGCGCATGGAGCGCTCGCGTAGCACGGCTGCGCCCGCGGGTACCTGTCACTTGTGACGTCACTTCACGCAACACCTTCTGTGTTGACCAACAAATCGCGAACTTATTCCATTGTTGGCGTCGACTACTTTGAAGTGCAAATTACTTCATATTTGAAATGGGAATAGTGGATCTCGTCCCGTTCATTTGTATTTACACACATCGGAAATTAATCCCGAAGTTAGCTGTCGGTAGCTAAACATCGGGCTAAGTTAACGCTCGCGGTAACTACCTCAAAGTCTCAACCAATAGTCATCATGTATAATATGAAATCTCTATGCACTCAATGAATTGCCTTGCCAATTTCTATCTATCTCTATGAGTATCCTCACAACGTAATAATTGTAAAAAAGTAGAATATTCACACAAAAAAGTAGCGTTTGTGACGTGTTTTTCGTGTACAGATTATTTTGTTGACATACCTATATAGTTATGCATTCCATACAATTGTGTGTAACATGATAACCATGAGTTTTATGTATGTATTAATTTACTTACATATTTCTTATGCTGCTATCGCGAATATATTTGACATTCGTTAATTGCTTATGAATTTGGCACAGCGACTGTAGTATTATGATAACTTTATATTGATTTTATGTGTAACAACTCTCTTATGGTAAATGATACGCGTGCAATATTGATTGAGTGCTCGAAGTGGCGCATCCCTTGCTGTGCGCTCGGGCAGCGCGTCCCGTAGGCTAAGACGCGGCGGCGGTCGCGGGCCTCGCTCCAGGACGCATCAACGAGCGCGCTGGTTGGTGTCGTCCTGGCGTGGGCGCGCCCGCAGCGACGCTCACGGTCAGGCTTCTTGTTGCAGGCAAGTCCGTCAACAGTAAGGATGCGCTCGAAGACAAGAAGGAAGACAACGAGCTCTGGGAGGCGCAAGCTGCCTTCCTGGGCCCCAACCTATGGGACAAGACGTTGCCCTACGACCCCGATCTCAAGGTACACGAAGTCAGTAATCGCCACTTTATTACCTACTGCGTGTTCTGTGTGCGTCTTTCGGCTTCCTAACCACCGCCGCCCGCACTAGGTAATAGAGTCGCTTCTGCCATCCCGACCCTGCTTGAACGCTGATTATATTTAATTAATAGATTAGATGTTTATTTGCGGAAGCGAATTGGCGAAGCGCGACGATGTGACGCTGCGCGAGTGTGCCTTGCGCGTGCGCGCGCAGGGTGCCGAGTGTGACGCGGGTGCGTGTGTTGCAGTACGTGGACCTAGACGAGTTCCTGTCGGAGAATGGCATGCCGGGCGAGGGGCTGGGCGGCGCGCACCTGGGCGGCGGCGGCTTCGGCGCGGGCGCGGGGCTGGCGCTGGGGCTGCCGGCGCCCGTCACCAAGCGCGAGCGCTCGCCCTCGCCCTCCGACTGCATGAGCCCCGACACCATCAACCCGCCGCTGTCGCCTGCCGACTCCAGTCAGTATACTCTCTTCTTAAACTTCCTACTCACCGCTTGCAGCGTATGTGATCGTTGTCTCAATTTCAACTGTCAAAAGTTCGGTCTTCATACGATCTTTAATCATTTTCTCTATCAATCTTAATTATTTCCAAGTGGACGATATCTTTATCTCTGGGGTACCTAGGTACATATGTACCTATGCAAATGTAATTGCTTAATGCAGCTGATATAAATTGACAATCTTTCTTTGTGTATAATTTAAATTTTCACAATAAATCTAAAGTTCTGTTCGTTGAATTAGCCTGCTTGTTGACTTTTCGTGCTATACAAATACTAAATACTAACCAGTCCCGCCTCGATGATTTCAGCATTCTCCATGGCATCGTCAGGCCGCGACTTCGACCCCCGGACGCGCGCCTTCTCCGACGAGGAGCTGAAGCCGCAGCCCATGATCAAGAAGTCCCGGAAACAGGTAAATGAAGTTAGTGCGCTGATCATTCCTAGCGGCATGCGCCACCCGCCTGCGGGGAGCGGACCCTCACCCCTGCCCTCACTCGCACGGCACACACACTAACGAACGCACTTTACTGTCGTCACTTCTATCTGTAGGGATCCATCACAAAATGATGCGCTTTATGTAATGATGATGACTTAAGCTATGAAAAATTATAAACTAAACATTTAGCCTTGATTACTCAATGCTGAATTTGTTCACGAAAAACTACTCCAGTAAAAGAAATTAATATTATTTTTACAATGTTATATAACATTATCTAGTAATTTCTCGTTTCAAGATTTTTTGGCGATTTTATAAGTCTTATATAATTTTGCTCTAGACGCGAAAGTTTGTGAACGACATAAAGATAGCTGAACTCCTTTACAAAAAATCAGACTCGCATGGATTACGATGAGTCTACACTATGCCATAGTACATCAGAGGCCTACTTTACTAAACGCCGAGGAAGTAGTCGGAAAAGCTAAATATACACTTTGTAATCGGATGAAAACCAACCTGTAACTGCTTTGAAAGGACACTACTTTTCTTGATCTCAACAAAAATCTTTAATTAAAACACCGTTTGGAATATACTGGACGCAGGTAGTGCCAAATGCATTAAAGACCTGGTTTTCGTCAGAAGGTAGAATACATTGCACCAGTTGCATCCTTGCTCCCATCCTCTCCCATGAGCTCTATTAACGCTTTATCATTAGACTAACCGAATAATATGACAACCTATTAAACAGCAAATTACATTTTGTAAACTTCATAGGTAATTTATGAAGTTTTCAAACTGCTTTTTGCTACACATAACGAGCGCGCGTATTGTTTTAATTAATAATATTACAATTATTTCAGATTTGCAAATGTTTTTTAAATTTTACTGCGCTCTCGGAATATGGTTGTTCTTATGTAGTTTGACATGAATCTATCTCTAGGCACCTCTCACTGACCACCTTTGTCCGAACCATCGCTGGTTCGCCGCGGAGGAACCAGTCGTGGACCGAGGGGGCCGAGCTGAGGCCGAGGGCTGCGAGTGATAGCTATGAACATTGTTCATGACAACTATTCCCGCTCTCAGCTGCGATAACATGCTAGTTTAATAAGCCTATTAGAGCGGACAAATTGTACCCTCATAAATGATATTCATTCCTACAGGTTGAAATGATAATAATTTTCTGTCGTCCAAACTTACAATTGCAGACAATAATCGGGACTCTGTCACTCGCAGCTGCTCCGCTCGGGCGCGGTTTGTGCTCGAGGCGTATGAGTAGATAGTTATTTTATACATACCTATACTACCAACGAACATACTCGAGCACATACCGCACTTTATAAAGTTTTTGGTTGTGGAGTTTTTTATTTTTTCACATAAAATGGGAAGGTTCACAAATCTATCGGACTTTTAAATGTACATAATAATTATTAAGTTCAAATGGGAAAAGACTAAATAGTAAGTGGAATTTATGCAATAAAGGTTGCAATTAATGTAATTCTTAAAAAAATATATAAATCTTTCTTTTCTAAATAAAATTCACATGATAAAATATTAAAAGGTTTGTATTACCTACTTCAAAATACGTGATTTTCTACTAAAACCTTCAGCTTTTTAAAATGCAAGTAAACCTTTATTGTTAAACTTGAACACTACGAAGAACTTAAGTCGAATGATACTGTTAAGATACAGGTGAACCAGAGGGGATCCACGTAAGACGTGCTTCACTGTTTAGTCTGTTCCCCGCGAGCCGTAACACGCTGTTGTATTTATTGGTGGGTGAAGGGTGGTTTGAGTGTGTGGCGGCGTGCTAACCCATATCGACGTCGCCGGCAGTTCGTGCCCGACGACCTGAAGGATGACAAGTACTGGGCGCGCCGGCGGAAGAACAACATGGCCGCCAAGCGCTCCCGCGACGCGCGCCGCATGAAGGAGAACCAGATCGCGCTGCGGGCTGGCTATCTCGAGAAGGAGGTCAGTAATGGTCATCTTTTCACACGGCTTCCAAGTATTAACTACCCACATGTGTGAGTCGGACTCGCGTACGTAGGGTATCTATACAACATTAGACAAATCGAGTAATAGTAATAGGCCCGCGTTTTTACTCTTTGGGAACTCTAAAAAGATGCGATTAGAGCTTTATATCATGACTAAATAATGAGTTCTTCTAACTTCTATCGTTGAATTCCATTAGTCACATGGTGATCCGTGCACATCGGGATACGCCGGCCCTTCATGATTTTGCCGGCCATTGTCGCGATGTCAATGTGCCCAGTAAAAAGTCGAGCAGGTCGACGAAAACAATGTACCGCGTATTTGTCGATATTCCCAAATATAGAACTGGGCAGATCGTGAAACCGTTTGCATTTCGCGCCGATGGTGGCGCTGTCTTCGGGCACTTCACTTTGTGTAAAAATTTTTACTGAAATATACATTAAATTGTGTGCAGTGTGTGAAATCAAACGTTCCTCCAATGGAAAACCTTTACAAACCATATTTATGCCTAAGTATCGCTGGTCAAATCGTCAAACGTTAAGCGTTTGAACGATATCGAGCCATATCGAGGAGTCGTGGACGGCGCTTCGTAGCGAGCGTACACCGAACGTTCGTTAGAGCGTTCGAAATGGACGGTTCAACGACCTCTAAAATGTTAAAGTGCGCGAACTGTAACCTAGTAATTAGCGAGGTTCTGGCATTTATACAGAACAAGTGTGATGTGATGGACGAAGATGCAATGATTAGATTGTGTATTACTGCTTTTAAGCCAGAAGACATAAGTGCAGCAAAAAATCTATTGTTTACATCAGTAAAGACATCGAAAAGGCAAGTGAAGCGAAAAAGGGAAGGCAAATCTCAACGTGAATTAGAAGACATAATTTCATTGATTAAACAACAAGATCCTGAAGAAATGCCGATCTTTGTCGCTCGTGACCTACACAAACTACCCCCAGTCACTTTCGATCATCTGGATGTTACACGACTGTTGAAAGATATTATTGTACTCAAACATGAAGTTGAAACTATCTTGGATACTTACACACCTATAGACCAATTTTCAAAATTAAAAAATGAAGTCATAAATTTGCAACAAACCTCCATAGTCAACAACTTCGGGCATAATAATGATAATAACTTTATTAATATGAAGCGAGGCACAAACCACGTATTTGATAACTCCGAATATAACTGTGACAGTGGCCCGTCAGGATTCATACACTTTACCCAAGAGGAGACGGTGAACGTAAACAAAAACTCGACCGTTACTGATAAAGCGGCCGGGTGTATTGCGCAGGCGGATCACTCACTGTCCCTGTCGCACGCGCAGTCAGGCGGCAATCTAGCTGTCGCCGCGAGCCCGAACAGTGTGCGCGTGGAGGAACCTACTGCGGTTTCCACCGTCGAAACCGCGGTACAAATGAACGGCGCCTCAACTGCCCCGATGACTAATGCCTCCGTACGGGTCGTCGCTAACGATCAGCTAGTACAATCGCCGCAAATACAAAATGCACCGATAAGGCATGAAGAAGGCTGGCAAACTGTACAAAGAAAGAGACGACAAAATAGATTTTTAGGTAAAAAAGGAACTTGTACCATAATTGAAGGAAATTTTAAGGCTGCAAATTCCAGTGTGGCTATTTTTATAAATAATGTGCACCAGGAAACTTGTGAAAAAGATATAATATCTTATATAAAAAACAGAACTGAGGTGGAAGTGTCATTGCAAAAGATTAATTCTAAACAGCAGAGAGAATACAACTCATATAAAATGTTTGTACCAAGACATAAGCTGAGTTTGTTTCTGGACTGTAACCTGTGGCCTGACGGCATAAAATTCCGACGTTTTATTGAATTTGGCAAGAGAGCCTCTGACAGACAAAGAAGGTCTGATACTGGTGCAATTTATTAATTTGAATGGTTAGTACAACAAACAATGTAAGTCTCAAATTAATTAGTTTTAATTGCAAATCCTTCAAGAGATCTATAGACTCTGTAAGAGTGCTTTGTCAAAGTGCTGACATTATTGCACTGCAAGAGACCTGGCTCTTGCCGCACGAGATACCGGAACTAGGTAAAACTAGTAAGGACTTCGGTTTTTGCGGGAAATCGGCTGTTGACACGTCGAGCGGGATACTTCGTGGGCGGCCGTACGGTGGGGTGGCACTCTTATGGAGAAACAGTAAGTTTAAGTGCGTGACAGTGATTCCGTGTGAAAGTAATCGAATTAGTGCTATTAAGGTCTGTGCATTGGACCGGTCTGTGCTCGTTTTTACTGTTTATATGCCTACGGACTCATCTGACAATCTTTTAGAGTACGTTCAATGTTTGAGTGAAATTATATCAATTGTTGAGGATTGTAATATTGAAACTGTATACATTTTGGGAGATTTTAATGCTCACCCGGGGGAACTCTTTTGTAATGAGCTTCTAGACTTTTGTAATGAGCAAAACTGGTCATGTGTTGATATCCAAATGTTGGGTCTAAACTCTAATACTCACACATTTGTCAGTGAAGCACACGGCAGCCACAGATGGCTTGATCACTGTGTTGTTACAGAGGCTGCTCGGAGTACGGTACAGTCAGTAGAAGTACATTGTGATGTTTTCTGGTCAGATCATTTCCCGCTAGAGATACGTTGTAACCTACAATCTATTTGCCAAACTGTTGAGCTGCCGCGTGCTAAAATAAATAAGGTTCTCTGGGGGGATAAGGACCTTAGTCAAATAGAAATATATACANTTTTACCGAAGTCAGCTCTATAGCTTCGGCGCAGTGCCGAACACTGACGTTTGTCAACAAAATGGTGCTTGACTCTTGAGACAGGCTAAATTACACCATATTGTTAATGACATTGAGCATACATTTTTTTAAATATCTTCGCGAAGTAAAACTTCTATACGTAGTACTTATTATTATTCTGTGGTTCTATGCAAATGTATGAAATTCTAGGGAACGTCATTTCGACACTGTTGCGGCGTTTGTGACGCGGCGTGGCACTTAAGGTAGCCTTTCGAACTAAGCGTCACAGACGCAGCGTCTTTAGCTTTGGTCTCAAAGGTAGCCTTTCGAACTAAGCGTCACTGACGCAGCGTCTTTAGCTTTGGTCTTAAAGGTAGCCTTTGGAAGCGAGTTAGTGACGCGGCGTTGGTGGCACTAAAGACCAAAGCTAAAGACGCTGCGTCTGTGACGCTTAGTTTGAAAGGCTATCTTTAACAAACTTCAAACTCCATATAAAAACAACGGTTGTCGATATAGTTAAGGTTAAAGTTAGATGGTGTAACTCAGCCCTAGTGGCTTATAGTGTTTACCTACCTACCTACACCTTTTCAAGATTTTCTGGAAGTCCTAGAGAGCCTTGTTCCAGCAGTGGATGTCATTTGGCTGAAACGAATGAAAAATCTATCAACATTGACACTATCTTTTTTTTTTCAATTCTTAATCAGTATACTTATACAGAATCTAATTTTCTACAGTTTTATCCTCAGGTCAAAAGGTAGAACTAATAGGAATGTTCACAAATGCCCCCATAGCTCAGTAGTAAGAGAACTCATCCGAAAAGCGAAAGGTGCAAGTACTACCGAGACCTTTCGCGTTTTATTACGATTATTAAAATAGATACTTAAATGCTTGTATTATGTCCATGACTGCAGCAACACAGCCGATAGGCCATGCTGTAAGAAAGTACTTACTCATGTACTTCATAAAAGTGGACCAACCTATTTTTTTTTTTCAAAATAAAATTTAGCCTATGTTACTCGTGGATAATGTAGCTTTCGAATGGTGAAAGAAATTTTAAAAACGGTTCAGTGGTTTTTAAGCCTATTCATTACATTAATTTCAAAGATTGTTAGAGACTCAGATTCAAACAGGAAAAATATTGTTATTAAAATTTATGACGCACATCGAAGAAATATCCTATAAAAACAAATGAAGCAATACTGAATAAAGCATCCCTATTACACAATTTAATTCATTGTTACAAAATAAAGGCAACTGTTTACAATTTATTCTCTTTTATTAGCGAAGAATTAAAAACAAGACGCTTAAACGCACGACCTACTTACAAAATTCGTTAGGGCTGCCCCAACCCGTTTCAACAACAAAGGATTAAAAGTTCTAACAGTTTACCGATCGGGTATTTGGATAACACTCACGAGATTATCGCCTAAAACCAAGACTGGGTTGTGACATAAATTTTGTTCAGACTAAGGCCCAGAACACACGGTGAAACGCAATTGCAACGAAACTGCAACTTCTAGTTACTTTTGAGTTGCATCTTAGTTTCTGCCATAGATTTCGTTGAGAGACCATACATGACCCCACCAGTTTGAAACCGGTTTGAAATGGTGGCGTCATGTGTGGTCTCTCAACGGAATCAATCAAAAGTAACTAGAAGTTCAGTTTCGTTGCAATTGTGTTTCACCTTGTGTTCTGGGCCTAAGTTTATTTTATAATGGCAGAGGCGGATTGAAAAATCTGTGGCTCTTATTAGATTGCTCTTCAATATAATGCTGTGCTTTGCTTTCATTATAATGGCCTATTTATTTATTTTCTGTTTTCACTTGTCTGATTAATCACTCTGTCTACATCTTTGTTCATTCGCAAAAATATACAAAAAATGCTAGCAGAACAAAAGTTTGTAAATATCAATTTTAGCAGGTTTTGGGTTATAGAAAGACACTGGATGCAGCCTACCAACTGCTCATTCTGGAAGTCTGGAGTTTAGCAATGGACGTTCTGAGGCTTAAAATTAAATGTTGATGATGATGATTTATTGCGTCATTTTGACACTGCATGTTTGCCTTCAATTTTGTACATAATTTGTTTATACGGTCATAACAAAGCAGCAACCCTAGTCAAGACAGCCCATGCGGAATATTCCCTTCTTTGATCCACGAGTAATTAATTATGTGAACAATTTCGCTAGACTTGTTAAATACTAACAAAGTCTGTTTACATAAGCTGGTGATTAGCTGCCTTGTTGCGTCCTGGGCTGGATTTTTAACTGCGGCAGTGGAATATCATGTGCCATTACCATACATAAACATGTTAGGAAAACTACGAAGGAATTAATCATTGACCCTGAAATAACGAAACTGGCAACACACATTTA